ATTCCTGCTTTCGTTCGCCTCTTGCACCTGAGCCTTTTCTGTCCCTTTCTACGTGCGGGACACTTCGCAGACAGGACACCACAGCTGATTACGTCTTGCTGCAGCTTTGTGCATGGAGGCTCTTGCTGTAGCTCCAAACCTGGTCGGTAGTCATGCAGCCTGGGCTGAATATTGGCAGGCAGTGTCAGTAACCCCTTCCATGCTGAGGGTTGCTGGCATTCAGGTGCCTCAAGCACAAGGTAGGTGGGCAAGGCCCATGTCACTGCCTCTTAGGTCAGCCTCTCCCCAGTCGCTGCCTAGAATATAACGTTTTCTGGCAGCACCTTCTGCTGCCTCAGGCCCGCAGTCAAGGAGGTTTTCGCAGATGATGGCTTCTAATCTGGTGCAGAGTGCTGCACCGAAAAGGCAAGGTGTTGGGAAAGGAGAAAGCTCCCAGTGCTGTGTAGGTCTCAAGGGGTGGTAATGCTATCTAACAGGAAGCCAGTGCAGAGTGGTTTTTGCAGCAAATGCAGCTGTGAGCAGCAGCACTTAAGGTAAGAGATTATACTGAGCAGCTCTGCAGACCGTGAAGATGTGGGTCAGTTGTTTGGAGCTGGTGGGTACCTGGCAGAAAACAGTATCGTTCATTATCATCGGCACTGGGCAGTCTGTGCAGAAATGAGTAATGCTGTAACTCCTCCAAACCTGCCAAGCTGGCCTTCCGACAGGAGGAAGCTTGATGTGGGATCCTGAACAGTGTGGGGCCTATTTCTGCTCCCTCACTCTGCTGTGTCTCTGGGGAGCAGCACTGGGCAATACCTGCTAGCTCTTAGGATGCTTTCAAGAACCAGAGGGTGCAGTGGGGGGTGCTCTGCTTGGTGTCCTCCTCTTGTTCCTTATTTTTAACCCCCTTGCCCTAGCCCTCGACCTTTTTTTCCTTTTTATCCCTTCTGCAGTCATTTTCTTTCCATGTTCTCTTTTTTTATTGCCCACTTCCCCGTTTTGACGTGGGAGGAAAAGAGCATTTAGTGTTGTTATGGATGGAAAAAGCAGTCCTATGGATGGAAATGAACAATATGGACAATGGCCAGTAATATAGAAGGACTGGTCACCCCCGACCTTCTGCTATTCTGTGGGATATGCTGAGCACTGCAGTAGCATGGGCATGCACTCTTGCTCCTAGAGAGAGCTCACTCCTGGGTACCTACCCTTATTCCCTCCATCAGCAGAAGCAGGACAGCATAACTACCACCACCACAACCCTCACTGCAACCACTTGAATTGCTATGCCAGCGCTGCAACCTGTGCCTCCATCACCACCTGTAACTGCATGGTGATACCCTGCCAGCCCACATACCAAGAGTCAAGGACTCCCAAGGCCACAACTGTACACTATCACCTTGGTTCACATGTCCAGGACCACTTAAAGAGTGACCTCTACTCTTTCTTTTTAATTAAGAAAACAGCAAACAAAAAAAAGGTATTACTCGCTCTCTACCGTGGGGAGATAATATTTTGCACTAGACAGTTGTTTGGCAAACATCTCTTTTTCCTCCCATAGACCCGAGTAATATTTGCCTCAGCTGTTTTTCTCTGGCAGACCATAAAGATATACGTGATGTGGTGGGCTGTACTGGCTACAGAGGGGACAGAGAATGGGCTGTAATTGTCCTGCCAAAGGCTTGCTAGAAAACAGTCTGTCAGAAGTGCCACTGTGCTGATGTTTCTATGCATCTGAGAAGTTCCATATTTACAGAAATCATCCATATTCCTGGAAGTCACCCAGTGCCGTTTGTTTTTAACCTCCTTCTGTGTGTGTCTAATGTGGTAGGTGAGAGAGAGGTGGACAGTTTTGGGTCATTTAGTTACAACTATTATTTGCCCGCTAACATAGTCTTTTGGGTTGCTTAGAATATTCTACAGGATTGAAGCCTCAAGAAATAAAGGCCGCTCAAAAACAATTTGTCTTTGTTGACCTCATTCTTGCGTTAAAATTAGGGAAATGTTTAACATCCTAAGCCAAGAACTTTATATACAGTTAAGCTGAATTTTTTTGCATTAAAAGAGGAAAAAGCATTCAAATGACTTGCAGGCCATGAAATCACAGTTGTCCAATAATAAAAGTGCTTCAAACAACTTGTTTTATGGTTTCTTTTTCATTCAGACATCTATTTATTAAAATGTATCTTGTGAAAGGAAGGATGATTTGTGGCTACTGTACAAGACTGGGTCTTTTGCCTTTCTTCCGCCTAAAGATTTACTATGTAGCCATGGTGGCTAGAGCTCGCTGCACTTCTGATTCTCACTATGAAATGTGGATAGCAACTTTCCTCTCTCTGGCCTGACACTGACCTTTTCTGTTTAAGCTCTTCCTGGCAGAGATACCGGTTGCTGTAATTATTTACAGTACGGAATCTTGTCTAGGACAAGATTGTGAAAGATCAATTGTGAAAGAAACAGGTATTCTAGTTTTATAGCTCTGTCTGGCTTCCAAACTGCCAGTAGCATTGTTCTTTCCTCATCAGCCACTTCCACTGAATGCAGGTATTTTAGACAGAAATAGGTCAAAATAGTACTCACACATGCCATACACACCAATGAGTTTTCCCTATCTCACTCTGAGTATTTATGTAATAAGGACTACTTTCAGTTCTGTAATATGCCCAGTCCACCACCAGATCTAATTTGCTTATGTCACTAAAAATTATCTGGGGTGGAAAAAGGGAGTAGTGACATTATTTTGGTGATTAAGAACTTGAGCAGAAAAGGAAGAAATGTAGAGGCATAAACAAGACATCTGAATTGACCTTGCAATGACAAGTGACATTTTATGTCAAAAAAAATTGAAGTTAATGCACAACGGATGAAAAAAAAAAAGGAAGTTTTTAATGGGTTTTAAATGATAAATGTGTCAATTCAAGAAAATGGTCTTGCAACTCGATGAACAGTTCAGTGAAGAGGTACTGCCAACATAGAGCTGCTGCCAAAGCACAAACAGGCTTGTAGGATGTATAGAGAATGTGATGAAGAATCTTCAGCACTGACCTACAATGCCCATTGAAATCAATGGCGTATCACACTCCTGGGAGCGCAGACTCCTCATACCAGGCTCTGAGCTCTCTGAAGACCTTTTTACCCCATGCAGCTCTCCTACTGCTCTTCACATAAAACTTTTATCTTGTTTTGGTCCAACAGGGAGGAAAGTACTTCTTGCTACAGTACATTCCAGCACCACGGCAGGCAATGGTGGGAAGAAAAACTGTTAAACGGATGCAGATTAGGAAAAGAAACCTTGATGAGCAGAGAAAGATTATAAACTCCTTCGATGGGAGGTGCTCAGCTCTGCCAGTTGCAGTTGTGAGACATATGAACAAGATGCCAAACAGGAAGCTGATTTGAATGGCTCATCAAACCCATGTCAGAATGACTCACCACTTCAGAAGTCATAGGTGATCACTGCGCACGCTTCTGTTCTCTCCTCTTTGGTCACGAACAGACCTATCAGTAGGAGCAGTCAAGGACGCTGGCTGATGATGCAGCTCTATGGCCTGGTTTCGGTTGTTCTGGCCCCTAAAGAGTTTCCTGGTGCAGATGCAAAACCTGCAGACATTTTGGGGAGGACCGCTATCCATATGGGGGACATGATGAAACCAAACTGAACTGGCAAAATCTGTGATTCACGGCAATGGAGCTTTTCTTGGTTTGCGGCTGCAAAAGCATCAAATGGTGAGTGACTTTTCAAGGTGTTAAACACAGCGTTTACTACATGTTGTCTGTAAAGAAAATTCTGCTCTCTCCTGGAAGCTGAAAATTTAGAGGAAGTGCAGCTACTAATCTTTATTGATGGCCAGAGCATCATCTGTAGATAAAGACAAAGTACTCTGCCTCTTTAGATCATCTGAGGTTTCTGCTCTAGTCTCCCTGCCCTGTTTATTTTTATATTTTTATCTATTTTATTAAGCTTGCCTCTGTTAATAGTTTTCATGTCATTATATTGCTGTGGTGCTTTCTCTTCTGTACGCCAACCTTCCCTACTTATTTTTATCCTCACCTAGGACATTTTCAGTGTTAAGACTATCAGTTCTTGAAGATGGAGGTTACGTCTTCTACAAAATTCTAGCAACACACAAGTGGCATAGACAAATAAACAACAATCCTAGTTAATACTAGCCTCACCAAAAATATAAAACACAGCTGATAATGTAGCTAGATTCCTTTCTCTTGTGCCTCCTATTCCAAAACTGTAAAATAATCGCATTCCAAATGCTAATGTTTTGTAAGACCTCTGCAGCTGAATGACTAACCTTTTTCAGTGTAGATCTGTTTGGCATATGCAGCATTCTCAGCCCAGCACTCCTCAGATACTACTTCTTAACTTTGGCAGTAAATACAATATTCTCCTACCTCTGTTAAATACTTTTTAAAGAATAGTACCTTTTTAAATGTTCAACATTATTTCTGCTACATTCTTCATCTCTTTCTTTTATTATGTAAAGCAGTTATATTTCCCATGTTATTTTTACCCATGTCTGAGTAGTTAACTACTCTGTTACTACTACTGAGTAGTAACTTTCATGTTCACCATAGAAATAGTCACATACTTAAAGATAAGCATATTCATATATTTTCCAGTTTAACATTTTCACTTTGGGAACTGCAAGAGTCCCTCAATATCATCCTGAAAATATATCACCTCCAAAAAAAAAAAAAAAACAGCCTCTGGTATTGGAAAGATTTTATAACTTTTAACAACAAAAATGCATTTTTGACCTGCTAGAAACAGGACTTCACAGCATCAGAGAATCACAGAACAACTGAGGTTGGAAGGGACCTCTGGAGATCATCCAGTCCAGTCCCTTCCCACCCTCCCCCCCCCACGCAGGCAGAGTCACCTAGAGCATGTTGCCCAGGATTGTGTCCAGGTGGCTTTTAAATATGTCCAAGGAGGGAGACTCTACAGCCTCTGTGGGCAACCTATTCCAGTGATCAGTCACCCTCACAGTAAAGAAAGTTTTTCCTCATGTTCGGATGGAACTTCCTGTGTTTCCATTTTTGCCTGTTGCCTCTTATCCTATGCCTAGGCACTACTGAAAAGTCTTAATGTTCGGATGGAACTTCCTGTGTTTCCATTTTTGCCTGTTGCCTCTTATCCTATGCCTAGGCACTACTGAAAAGTCTTACCCCATCCTCTTTACACCCTCTCTTCAGCTATTTAAGATCCCCTCTCAATCTTCTCTTCTCCAGGATAAACAGCCCCAGCTCTCTCAGTCTTTTCTCATATGAGAGATGCTCTAATTTCTTAATCATTTTAGTAGCCCTTCACTGGGCTCACTCCAGTAGCTCCATATCGCTCTTATACCAGAGAGCCCAGAACTGGGCACAGCACTCCAGGTATGGCTTTACCAGTGCTGAGTAGAGGGGGAGGATCACCTCCCTTGACCTGCTGGCAATGCTCATCCTAATGCAGCCCAGGATGGTGCGCCGGGAGGCCTCTGCAGAACGACCAAACCAGTTGATAAGCATTTTGCCCTGGTACGGTAACTCAGCAAGCTCCATACACTCAACAAGTTCAGGTGGTAGTATAGGTGTCCCTACTCCTTAGGAATGAGTTTACAATTGTAACAGGTGAGTAACCAAATTTAATGAATTGATAAACAGTAACAATAACAACTATAATAATATTGATAACAATATACAATGATCACAAGGTATTACCATATTTACAATGGTATACCAGAATCTTCAGGAAAAAAGTAAATAGAAATGATTATATCTTTATACATACACACACAACACAGAGGTTTGAGTTTAAAAGACCATCAAAGACACACGGAAGTGGTAAGGTGGTGGGGGGAAGGGTGAAGCCGGCCGCACCCAGAGCGGGGAGCGCCGCTTCCAGGTCCGGGGACCTGTACCCTAAGCAGGCCACCA